TATGAGACATAGAGTCAAATGCCCAGTATTGGGGACTTCGCTACTTTGGAACGGTGTGGTGCCTCTTGAGATGTAGCAGGCTATACTCAATGACAACCATGAGGTGGGCATTTGATTCCACGGTTTGGTTCCGGCATCGCAGTCATCACGAATCCTGCTAGGGAGCTGCAGCACAATGCGCTGCCTCCGACCCCTGCGCGTGGAACTCAGATGAACTTGGAGTCGCAATTCTAGGGTAATGGTCGACTGGGAGGTCCCTGTAAGATTTAGGGGCTCATGGAGACTTATGAGGAGTTTTTTTTGGGTGTCGCGTATTTTTGATTTTGGGGTTGAGGGTTTAGGGCTATTTGGGTGACCTCACCTGGCAGCCCGCATGACCCCGCGATCTCTGCCTGGTGCCAGGGAAATACAGCAGGATGCCGCCGGTTCGACTCCGGCCCCACCTGCCCTTGCGCCGCCGGGGTCCCGGGCTTCGGAATCGGGTTTCAGAGCATTTTGCATGGGGGCAAGGGGGATGGGGGCTTAGGGGGCTCAGGGGCTCTGGGTTCTGGTGGATGTTCTTAGCAGATCTCCCTGCAACGGTATTCTAGGGATCTGAACCATCAGTAAGTCCATCCCCTTAACATCCCTATAGAAGTAAGTATAGTACTTATACTATACCCTCTACAATAATGTTAAGATCCATCTATTGTGCATGATTTGGAGTACGACGGAGCCCTCCGCAAGCGATCCGAGTTTCGTTTAGCTCCAGTCTAGAGGCCTCAAGAGATATTCTCAGCAGAGCCATCAGGCTGGGGTGTCCTGCGCTTCCTACTTGGAGGTTCATGGGTAGTTATAAGTGGGGTTATAAGTAAGGTAACTATAGTTCCAATCCATATTAGGGGACTTATAACCATACTTATAGCTACCCCTAAACCCTAAACTCTAAAAACCCTATAGAACCCTTTAAAGGAACCCTTAAAGGAACCCCATAACCATACTTATAACTACCCACGAACCTCCAAGTATCGGATCTGTAGAGAAAGTCCCGGTCCTACCGCAGCCTGCACGGTGCGTGTGTCCCACAGCACGCGACGCCTTGTCGGCAAGCCCCTCTCGCAGGGTGAACTCGCAGCGGTCCTGTCGGAAATCAGAAAAGCACCCTAAACCCTAAATCCCTAAACCCCTAAACCCCTAAACCCCTAAACCCCTAAACCCTACACCCCTAAACCCCTAAACTCCTATAAACCCTAAACTCAAGATTCCTGACCTCCGGAAGCGTGAACCCTAAACCCTGAACTCCTAGATCCTCGGAGTCCCGGAGCCTCGGAGCCGAAATCCTGAACAATCGGCGTGTGGGGATTTGGAGTATCAGGGCAGGTCTGAATTTAGGGTTTTGGTGTTTAGGGTATGGGGTTAGGGTTTAGGGTTTAGGTTTAGGGTTTAGGGTTTAGGGTTCACGGATTTGGAGTTTAGATTTTTGCGGCCTGTCGTGGGCCTGTGGCTGAGAGAATCCTGAGCGCTTGAGCCTAGGAGGGGCTTCCGCTCGTGTGGTTTAGGGTTTAGGGGGTTTAGGTTTTTAGGATTATTAGGGTTTAGGGTTACCATTTTCCTTGACATCCTTGACAAGGCAACAAACCCCACCTGGACCCTATAAAACCTACAGTTTTGGGCTCCTTTCGATGATTTTCCTTATATAAGTCACTAAAGGGTATGTTGTCTAGGATCCAGCGAAACCCTAAAGCGGCATCATCACGTGTAGCACTGGCATTCAGACCCTCCATAAGGTCGGATGAGCCGCTCTTCACGAATGCCCCGCAGCAGGTTTGATATGTCACTGTGTTGCGGAAGAACCGAGAGCAAACAGCTTGCCCGCCGTGTAGATGCTAAATCGCAGAAGTCTGACTGCAATGCTTGTTAAACCGGAACCACACTAGTAATGTTAGAAGCAAAACCAACCCTAAAATCCCGAAACCCTAAACCCAAAACCCAAATGTAGATGATACCAAGACAGAGATGATGCTTGTGTTGGTAGCAGGGCCGCATCCATGAGCCCTACTCGCCGATGGAATCCCCAGGGTCTCGGAAATTTGGGTTTGAGGGTTTATAGGGTTTAGGGTTTAGGGTTTACCCACATCGTTCCGAAAGACTTCTATGGAATTTCGCGGGGCCAGGTGGCTAGCGTTGTCTGGGAGAGATGTTTGCCGAATTTTTCGGTGGTCTAGAGGCTTGTGGAGCCTGCAGCGCAGCGAGAGAGCCCTCCCAATGCTACCCTCTCTTAGACCCCAAATAGCAAATAGTTGGGAGCACATACCCCTGTTTCAGGGCGCAAGGAGGGTCTTGGTACAGGGTCTAAACCCTAAACCCCACACCCTGAGTCTAGATTTTGGGGTGCATGTCCAGCTGCTTGCAGAGGCAATCGGCTTTCGGCCTTGTTTCTTCATGCCAAAACCCGAAGACCGTGGGTTCAAAGGCAGTGGGGCCCTGCATCTCCCAGTAGCGGGTAGGTCTCTAGATTAGGGTCCCTTTCTTAGGTCCCCAACATCGTAGGGCACCCTTATAACAGGGAACCTAAAAAGGAACCCTAATCTAGAGAGCTACCCAAATGCAAAACCCCTCGAAGCCCTACAAGAGGCCTGGCCTATATCCGGGTTTCTGTCGAAACAGCAAGTCTCATGTCATACAAAGATATGTAGCTACACTAATTGATGCACGAAGGATGACCTTCTATTGCTACCTCGCAACTCCTCACATTTTCAACCCCTTAACACCCAGGCCGTGAAAGCCTAAACCTCAAGCCCGAACCCCTTTCCCCCCGGGTCGTAAAGGACCCGTTCAAAAGACCATAAACCCTAAACCGCTAAACCCTAACCCCCTAAACCCCAAACCCTTAAACCCCTAAACCCCTAAACTCCCAAATCCTAAACCCCTCAACCCATAAACCCTAAACCCAAGCTTAAAGGATGATCCCCTGAGCCAGTACCCAGCAAATCCAAACAGCAACTGCCACGTATATGCGATATGTAATATGAAGGTTACATCGACACCCTTTGAAGCACATAACGGCTTCCGAAATTACAGAAGGATGTAAGTTCCCATAATGTGGAAGCCGGACTTTTTGCTGTCACCCCTATAGCTATCATAGCTATCTATCTATCTATCTATCTATCCATCTACCTATCTATCTATATATAGTGTGTGTGCTTAACGTAAGTTCTCTAGCACCCACAACACGTGTACTAAACCTATGTAGACTCGTATTCAACCTTGTCGAAGCCCTCCTGTGGTAGCTTCAGCTATGTTCTGTACTCAAAGAACAATGCTGAGCCTGGAGGCGGAGCCGCCAGAGACCACCTACGTGGTGGCTCCCAGCGACATCAGCGCGAGGTCGGGCCTGCGAAGTGGGGAGTGGATTTGGTTCAGTAGTTTGGGTAGTTTTCTAAATTAGGGTCCCTTTCAGGGTCCTTTTTATAAGGGTGCCGTACTATATTCTGCCCAAATTTAGGGTTTGGGGGTAGTGTAGGACTTATGGTGAAGCAGTCTGGCCGTGGCTTTCAATTGTTCAGGGTTAGCTAGGTTCATGGGAAGTTATAGGTGGGCTTATAAGCAGGGTAACTATAGTTATAACCCACATTAGGGGACTTGTAACCCTACTTATCACTACCCATGAACCTGCAAGTACTCATGTCCTCTCCCTAAACCCTAAACCCTACAGCCTAAACCAAACCCTAAAGCCTAAACCCAAAACCCTACACCCTAAACCCTATAAACCCTAAACCAAACCCCAAACCCTAAATCCCTAAACCCTCACATCCACGACCGCGAGACTTACGCGTTCCCGTATCAGCCTGCTTAGAAGGGTCTCCCAGGGGGCCCTTTTCTTCTCTTTTTGAAGTCTTGGGGTCTAGGGCTTAGGGTTTAGGGTTTAGGGGTTTAGGGGTTTAGGGTTTAGGTTTTTTGGGTTTAGGTTTTAGGCTTTAGGGGAGCCCTTATTGTCTACGGCTACTGGGCTGAACCCCAAGCCCTAGACCCCAAACCCTAAGCCCTAAACCGTAAACCCGCAACCATAAACCCAGGAGCCCTGTGTTTTTTTCAAACCCTTGCCTAAGAAGCTCCGAAGCATGCACAAGGGCCTAGGGCTTCAGGGTTCAAGGGTTCGAGGGCTCAAGGGTTTGAGGGTTCAGGGTTTAAGGGTTTAGGGTTTAGGGTCCTAAACCCTAAACCTCTAAACCCCTAAACCCTGAACCCTAAACAAACCTGAACTGGACCAAGCCCAGGCTCGCCAGCTTGTTCCAAGTCTGCGGTCTCTGCTCCAACGGGAAGCAGCCGAAACGCTTCGGTAAAGGCGGATGCTCGGTCCCCCCCCCCGCCCACTACTTGCAGGGTAGTCTAGGGCTTAGGGTTCGGGGTGCAGGGTTTAGAGTTCTGGGTTGAGGGTGTAAGGTTTAGGCCTTTTGGCCCCAAAAAGCTTCAGGGTCTCTTACACCGTTTTATGTCGAGGTGTCCTTGTTTGAGCAGTGGCAAAGAGAGAAAGAGAACGTTTATTCTTTGAGGCGGTACTGGGGAGCCAAGGATATGCCATCTGTGAGGAGTTGCTGGGGCAAGGAGTGACACCACCAATCAAGCTCGTGGCCGGATTTGAGCTTTTTGGTTTAGGGTCTAGGGTTTAGGGTTTAGGGAAAGTTTTGTCGGGGGGAGCCCAATATAAGAATATACAAGCTTAGAGAATTCCCAATTTAATCCGTGGAGTTCCTGCGCAGACTTGTATTATCATATACCCCAAAGCATTATTCTAGTTGCTGAGTCTAAACCCTAAGCCCTAAACCCTATATTAGGGCTTCGGAGTCTGTCGAGGAGGAGAACCCGGAACCCTCGATGTGTTGCCTTTCCAACATAGGCACTTCGATCATTATTCTGGGGTCCAGCGTTGTATGACTGTCTTAAGGAACCCACTGAGGAATACTATTGGTGATTATTCAGGCCCTATAATAAGCTGCTTTTGAATCATCACCAAGACCTAGGCAGGGGACGCCGCCTGGGACAAGTTTGGTGCCGACCTCACCGTGCTGCACCCGGAGCTGGTTTTGCAAGTTCTCACCTGCAGTCCCTCCTCGACGCGCTGTCCGAAAGAGAGGCCTGACTGTGGGATGCTCCACACCGCAGGTGGCATAGCCTGCACGAACGAAGAAGAACTTTCGTCGTATCCGGTGCTGCTGGCAAAGATCCCCGGCGGTCAAAACAATTTCGTTGCTGTGGTGAATCGTGGCCACTACATCTGGAAGCATCTCCTTGACACCCGACGAATCTGGTCCCAGTATCGTATGATGATTCTGGAGCTGCCCTGGCTGGAAGAACAAACGCATCATCTGTACTATCTTCGGGTAATGGAAGTTCTTCTGAGCGACTTCAGGCTAGTCCATGCAGCCTGTTGGAAAGATATGTACCGCCTTGTTACGTTTGCTTGTTGTGACTCTGAAGTTTTTGGTGCTAGAGCCCAAAACCCCACATGCAGAGCAGCCATAGTCGGAAAACGAGCTCTCCTCTCGACTTCGTAACATCGCTTCAAGCGGTGACTGAACTCAGGTAGATGCATCGACGTGTCACGGACGATGGCAGATCCGATCAACAGAGGTCGGCATGCCACGGGTGGTGCAGGCCACCTTCGTCCGCAAAGATCTGGCTGTCGCACAAGCTTCTAAGCTGCTCACGAGAACACCTTTGTATTCTTAAAGTGTTCAATAGAGCTTTACCAAAAGGGAGAGGAGCTACCAACAAAGTTGCGATGTTCTAAACCATCCGATTTTCAATGGGTCTGCAAGAAGAGACCAGGCTTGCACTACCCAGCTGCACTGGGATTCTGGCGTTTGGGACTGTCCGGGCCTGCCAAGGCCGCGCGGCGGCAGCAGAGTCACCTAGGGTTCAGGGATTAGGGTTTAGGGGCAGGGGGAAATTCAGGATGTAGGACTCAGAACTTTTAGGTTTGAGGTTTAGGATTTGGGGTTCCCTTTTGCTACTTTCTGGTGTCTCGGTTATCCTTATTGTGACAACTTAAATAAGCCAACACTAAGAACCGAAGCGCTATATCCCATAATGCCTGATCTCTACCCCGAGGCCCTTTCTGTTCAATATTTTTGTATGTAAGGTATGTTCCTTAATGACAGGCAGTATGCCCGCCAAAGCCCTAGTCCAATAGTCATTGGGACCCCTATATCAAGTGGCCCAAGCCCTGAGCATTGCGTGTCCTTGCCCCTCTTACCCTACCCTAAAACCCTAAACCCCAAAACCCTTTGCCCCAAACCCTGAACCCCAAAACCCTAAACCCCAAAACCCTAAACCACCAACACCCTAAACCACCAACACCCTAAACCCCAACACCCTAAACCCCCAAACCCTAAACCCCCAAACCCTAAGCCCCAAAACCCTAAACCCCAAAACCCTAAACCCCCAACACCCTAAACCCCACCACCCTAAGACCCAAACCCTAAGCAAAACCAAGGACGCCCCCCGAACCGTTGAGCTTGGTCGGGGCGCCCGTTCTGGGAGACTGGGTCTGGATTTTAGTAGGGTTTAGCGTTTAAGGGTTTAGGGTTTAAGGGTTTAGGGTTTAGAGCTTGAAGGTTTCGGGTTGAGGGTTTAAGGGTTTCTCGGGTTTAGGGTTTAAGGTTTTGAGGTTTAGGGTTTAAAGTTTTTGGGTTTAGGGTTTAGGGTGGAGGGTTCAGGGTTTACGATGTAGGGTTTACAGGCTGTCGTACCATTTTGTGGCACCTAAAAAGGGGACGCTCCTGCAAAGAGCTACCCAAATAAATGTATGTGCGCTCGAGGCATAAGCCAAAGGAGGACAAGCTTAATTAAGGTTCCAGGAAATTTCCGGTTTAGCTTTAGGTTTTGGGTTTAGGGTTCTGAATTATCTCGGGGCAATTGAGGGTTGAGGGCTTACGGCTTTGAGATAATTTTTTAGGGGTGTTGTCTGTCCGTGGCAGCTGGCCTGGGTTTGTTTCTACATGTGTGTTCAGGGTTTGGAGTTTAGAGTTTAGGTTCAGTGTGTACGTTGCTGAAATCGGGGTGTATGTGTGGAGGGACGTGGGCAGTGGGAGAGAAAGGCTAAACCCTAAACCCCTAAACCCTAAACCCCTAAACCCTAAACCCCTAAACCCTAAACCCCTAAACCCTAAACCCCTAAACCCTAAACCCCTACACCCTGAACCCCTAAACCCTAGGACAGTGCACCTTCGAAGCAGGAACACTCAGCTCACAGGTCTTACTCTCTTGACTAAACCTTCGATCTGACACCCTGAGCCCTAGACTCTAAGTCCCTTCGCCAAAACTGCAAAAGAATCCCTAAGGGTCCATGTTCCTAAATAGCATATACTTTGGCCCCAAAGTACCTATATAGGGACTACTTTAAGGCCAAAGTATATACTATTTGGGCACCATCACCCTTATGGAATCCCCAATCCTGCGCCCCTAAAACTCCGCCGAAAGGAGAGCCTCACTCGGGTGTCTTCCAAGTCTACGCCTCCCCCATCGACGGCTTCGATGACGTCATGGTACCTCACAGGACACGTGCTGGAGGTATAGAGTCTGGGAATTGGGGGCCTAGATGAAATTTTGGGATGGGATGTGGGGCAAAATCAGGGTGCAGGGATCAAAACATCGCTTAGATGGCGATGCTATTTGATATCGGAAATTACAGACCCTACGTGGCTGTTATCCGACACCGCCAGAATGAAACCGGTGAAAAGGTCCGTGCACCGGCGTTCTTGTGATAGCAGATCTTCCGTTACCGAGTTCTGATTGCAACTACTACTACTACTACTACTACTAATACTACTACTACTACTACTACTACTACACGGGACAACGCTTCAGTGGGGTTAAAAGCGAAGAAAAAACTCAGCGTGAATGATTTGGAAGGGTGGTGGCTG